CGTTTAGTAACAATATTGCCCTTGGTGTTGATTTACTGATACCAATTGTATGCAGAACTGCCCATGAACATAGTAATGAGCTCAAACTACTGTACAAGGCCAAAAGCAAACTAAAGAAACTTAAATCGCCAACTAGCAGGAACAAGAGCTTCGCAACCTTGCTACCAATACACGAGAATCTGCTACCTATACAGCATTTAACCCAAACGGCCAAAACCAGCGAAGAAAGTCAGTTGCTCAGAACTCCTGAGAAAGTACGTACATCGATGCAACTACTCAAAAGGAGGAACCCCAAACCCCATCAGGAAATTGTAACGTTGGCTCTAGACGATATCTCCCTCATACGCGAGGCAATCGAGTCTAGTTTTGCCTCCTATTTCATCCCCAACACTCAGCCATTGCTTCCTCAACTTCTAAAAAGAATGACCGTGCTATACTGCAATATCCCTGTGACCTTGAGAGAGGTGTGAAGTGACATCGCATCCGTAAAACCGTCAATCGTTCCAGGACTAGATGGCGTCTCCTCAAATGTTACAAAACGCGCTCAGAACTCTCTACTGTTATTAAAAATCCTCACATATTCTCTCGCAACCGGCTGATGCACATTGCAATGGAAGCAGCCCATTATAATGTGTAAGCACAACGGTGATACGAGAAATAACATGTCAAGCTACCACCCAATAAATCACAAATCTGCTGCTCCCAAAGCCCTAGCGAGAATAGTCAAGAAGAACATCGTTCAATATCTTACAAGACTGAATCTGATAAACCCCTCACAGCATGGCTTTTCTCAAAACACTCCTGCGTTACCTGCCAGCTACAATTTCTCGGTCATGTCACGACAATGATTGACAGAGGAATGGCAATTAGTATAATTCTGATGGACATGCAAAAGGCGTTCGACCGCTTGCCGCACAAGCCACTGCTCTCTGCTCTAGAGTCATATGGAATTGGAAATCCTCTGTTTAACTTGTTTGGCTCATACCTAAACGGTCGAACTCAGGTATTTAAATTGGTCAAGCAATATTCTACACCGAAACGAATAACCAGCGGCGTCTTCCAGGGAAGTTTGTTCGGACCACTACTTTTCCTAATCTACGTAAACCACATATGCGACCCGATCCTAAATGCACGCCCGTTTCTGTTTTCAGATGACGTCAAACTGGTTTACTCATTTTATCCAGACCAAGTACAAGGTGCTTGGGAAAAATCTGTGAAGACCTATCCGCACTAAATATAGCTAGTGAGCGTTTATTAGTGAAGTTCTCCACAGCGAATTCCCAAGTACTTGGGTACAGACGCCGCATCCTAGAAGACTCTATCACACTTGCCGGAAACGTGATCCAAACGTCTGATCCAGTTCGGAACTTAGGAATCAGGTACTTAAACTCTTTCCATTTCTCCGAACATGTGCTCTATCAGATTGCGAAAGCAAGGCAGCTATGCAGATATATCACCAGAACTTTCTCCCTACTCGAAGCACGACTTGAGTCATTCAAGACAATAGTACGACTGACTCTGGAATACTGTATTATCGTTCACAGCCAATTGAGAAAGAAAGACAGAACGGCTCTGGAAAATGTCCAACGATCATTTACAAAGCTGGTCATGGTGCGCTGCGGAGTTATTATGATCGCTGTCGAAAACTCCAACTGGATTCTCTTTGGCTGAGACGCTTAAAGAACAACCTTGTGCTCTTCTACAACATTATAAATCAACGAATTTACTCAGACAGCACCGCACTTGAACTACGAAAGACTGCAGTCTACCCCATACGTAATGGCGGCTAGTTAATAGACACAAACTTTTCAGGTCATAAAATTTCATCGAATTCCTTCTTAGTGAAACACACTGATCTGTGGAACAAACTACTCCTACAGATACGCATGAGTGCAAGCAATGTCACATATCGAAATTCTCTACAGACGTTCCTCACTATATCAAATGTGTTGAAGATCTTTGACTCCCAGCAAACTCTAGAAACATTGACAGAAGTTGGTATAAAAAGCATATGAGTAGATATTCACTTACAACTAGCTCACGGACTACATGTCTTTACCTACAGTACCCAATCCTCTGTTTGTGCAGCCTAGTATCCCCTCTCATTTATTATCTACTCCTGAGCCCCGAAAACTACAAAATGAGGATACAAAAATAGCAGAACGTTTTACGTATTAGGTACTCGGAGCTATGACCCGAAGATAAAACATGATCCGAAATTTTATTATTTAACTGCTTTAATATTATGACTTACGCCGCATAATCCATGAGAACTATTCACTGTACAAATGATCGCTTCCGCCTACGTGGCCGTGTACCGTTTGTCGGCAAATATACACATTGATTTATTCATCCATTTATATGCTGAACGGATTAAAACTAAAGTGATTATTTACTGGCTAATCCGTTCCACTTTGTAGTCAAGGACAAGGTAATGACAATAAAGAGAATTTTGCCAAGCGGGTAAAGCCAGTTCCTACTTCATGTCAGCTATGTGCACCCTCGCTCACCACCACTCGCCACAATCCTTCTTAGTGGATTTGGAAATGGAACCGCGGCCGTTCCCATTTCATATATACCCGGCAGAAGCCAACTACATGTTCCCATGATTTATGCAAATTCTACACATGCAAGATAACCATAGCACTAAGTCAACCTCAATGTAGACTTGATACCATAACCGCTCCTTTCCCTCAACTATACCGGCGTTCGCAGAAGACTAGGTACCCCTACCCACACGATTGCTCCCACATATATTTGCCGTTCCAATTATCCGCGAGTACGGTGAGTCATACAATAGGTACGCGAATACTAACCACACCATTCATAGTATATTTTCAGTACCTTTTATTAACGCCGGAGCAATTATCAACGAAATATTGTTCCTAAACATGCATGCACATTCCAACTGCATGCAATTCTTGTTAGCGAAATGTGGTGATAAAGTGTAACAGGACTGGATTTATCCTAGAAACCAATTAGTTCGGTGCATGGAATAAGAAAGCTGGTCCCCGATCTCTGAAAAGAATAAGCACTATGAATAATTGGTTTCTCACTCCAGACGCAAATCGGTATTTTGTTGTAATACTTCGATCGGCGTTGACACGTTTAATGCAAATGTGTTGAAACGTCTTTACCGACCGTTTATTCGCAACCATTCTCCATCGAACTATGAGCAGTCTGTTTTCAGTGCACGCAATTTATTGATCATGTTTATACAAGCTTGCTTTGGGTCGAAGCCAGAAAACGCCAATATCCCTGCTCTTAATGTGACCAATACACCGCGAATAGCTGAGGAACAAATCTAAAATTCTAATCCAAATTGAACATTACAGTTTTATATACTCTAATCAATATTTTATTCCCCTTTAGTGTTCTGTTAAATGTAGCTTAACTCTGGTGTGGACCCAGATGATGCAGATTGCCGATTGCTGTAGGTACTTATATAATGCCTAGCTAAATTTATGGTTCGAGCGATCGGGTGTATTAAGGTATACTTCAAAGCGAACTGCAATCCCAACCAACGTTACCAGGGATAATCCATTCACACAATCGATTATTCAAAACTAACCGAAATGCATCTCAAATCTTTGGTACTATCACTACTAAGGATTTTCTGTCGCCTAGGCTAAAATGCATCAACCACTGTACACTGTGTTCCGTGTTCGATTCCCACTTTGACTGTCCATTTCTGAACAGTGTAAACGAATATGTGATATGCGTATGAGAGCAGCCACAAAAGTACAGTCATCCATTTACCGACAAATACTATTTGGATTAACCAAAACAACTACTCTAATTCACATTCAAATTAATGATCTAAATATGCAAGTTCAAAAAGCGCTCCGTCGAAATGTTTGGCCTTGTGCCAGAATCAGCAGTGGTCCTTATGTTCCCTGAAAGACGGAGCGACACATGAGAGAAGAAAATGTTACTAAATCTATGCGGACAACTAAGTAACTAAGGGTTTCCTTGGATTCATACCTCTCCGGTTGTATTCAAATGTAAAGTGGCTTCCTGTGCCAAATGACATATAGGGGCAGTTCAAATCATACTACGAATGCTTGAGAACCATCCCAGTAAACTTTCTTTGATTCGTGGTCACATGAGTCGTATGATGGTGGTCTGTCCACACTGAGATTGCCTGGATTTTCGCAACATTGCATGACCCTGAAATGCTTAACAGACCGTATAAATACCACGGATGTAGTACGCAATTCTTCAGCAACTAGTTCGTCAGCGGTTTTTTGACGATTCCAAAGGTATGTTCCACATGGTTTTCTTGGGAGCATGAAGTAGATGACCATGAATTTCATGCACAAGCCAAACACATCTAACCCACGCTTTCTACAACCGTGTTGTTTCATTTGTAAAGGCACTATTGTGCAGTATTATGTGATCACAGCATAATATTTCATCAAGTAAAACCAAAGGTTGCACATAGCGTTCGGGTAACAACGTGAAATGTTTGCTTGTCTCAAAGGCAACCAAATCTAGAGTTATTAACAGTGCATTTTTTTCCATCCATCGTTCTCCCCCTATCCCCATTCACTAAGACTAAAAATTCTGTCACTTCAAATTATTTACAGATATGTGGGTTCAGTTGACTATCGTTCTGACGGTGCTGTGCACTGTGTTTACGAATGCGCTTCACGTGGCTCATTCGGATGTGAGCCGTGAACCGAATGGTGCCATTGTACACACACAATGGAACATGCTACAAGACGGGAAAGAGTGTCGCTGTAATTGTTGCTGTGTATGCCCTGATGCGACGCCGAAGCCAATTGCGCCAACAAGCCAAATCCCCACGAGGACTACAACCACTCTGGCTTCTACAACCACGACAACCACCACCCCTGCTCCAACCACTAGCACCACCACCACCACCACAACGACCACCACCACACCAGCTCCGACTACCACGACCACGACCACCACTACAACAACCACTCCAGCCCCAACTACAACCACCACATCGACAATCACCACCACCACACCAGCTCCCACTGAGACTGAACCCACTGAAACCATCCCTACAAGAATCGCAACCACTGAATCCACCACACGCACAACAACGCGTCGAACCACTGCCGGGACTAGCGCCTGGACTAGACGCCGGGACTAGCGCCGGGACTGACGCCGGGATTAGCGCCGGGCCTAGCGCCGGGACTAGCGCCTGGACTAGCGCCGGGACTGGCGCCGGGTCTGGCGCCGGGACTAGCGCCGGGCCTAGGGCCGGGACTAGCGCACCGGATGAATGTAGGAAAGCACTTTCCACAGTCAGCGAGATCAGAATTTACGTGAGTTTGCATACGTTAAACATTGTTTTACCGTTTACCCACAATCCATTTCTTTCGTGTAGCTCGAGATTGCCATTAACTCGCAAACCGAATACAAGTTCATGAATGAGAAAGATATGCAAATATTATCTGTCCTCAAGGATTTCAATGTCAGCAAAGTGTTGACTTACAAGATCATCGTAAGTTGAACTTTCCAACTAAACCTAACACCATCACTCTTTCCTAGACTCTCATAGCGCCAGGTGTTTGTGAGGAAGTGGAAATTTGCAATGGCCCCCTAGTCTGCAGCACGGAGTACTGCGTTGTGAAGCAACCGAAACGGGTGACATGTCCTGCGATTCATCCTTCATGCCCCTTGGTGCGCTAGATATTCGCACATCATTCACCGCCTTGCACAATTATGTGGCGGAAATAGAAATGATTATTATAGACACGCTAAACCCTTATTAAATAAATGTTGCTCTCACAAAGATTCTTGCAAATTTTTTATATTTTGCGATTGCGACCTTCTCCTACTTAGCACAAGTGACTGATCGGACTAAGCTGGAATGACCATTGAAACGCCCTGATTGGCTAATCTTTGTAACTGTGCCCCTCCAAACAAGCAAATTTCGGTAGCTTTGGATACTAGGAAAACGTTTACGTTGTAGATTTAGAATACGCGTAGAAGGTATTTTGCTGAACCCTAATGCCTTCCACCGTCAGTGCAAATGGAATCCCAAGGCGTCACAACACGGAAGTGAGTACCTAAATTTATACTCAAATATTGAATGTATGGCTAAAATGTGATGAAAATGTTCCACACAGCCACAGCCATTCTATCCGCTACAGGTGGTAATTAGGCGTATTATTTCATTGAGAAAGTAAATTGGAAATAATAACCGGTGGTGTTTATGTTGAATTATAATGTTTATTGCAATGTTTAATCATACTGTCAAGAAAAATGGTGGATTGTGTTAGTGTATTATGATTTGGCGGCGTCCGTATCCGGATTTGCCTGTCACTGTGACGTCCATGGGGACAGTCACAGGACGCCTGCGCCTACAGAGGGACCATGGGTGGATTGCGCTGCACCACCCACTGTTCCACCCACACACCCCATATCCGGTGCAAACCCGAAGGAATAAGACCGGGAGGCATGCGGATGGGAGCCACGTTTCATCAACGGAGCCGGCCCACACTCCTTCCACAAGCAGATCGGAAGCATTCCGGCCTAAATGGGAACTCATACACACCAGACGTACACGAGGCGGTGGCTGGACCGTAGCCCGTTCCACACAGATTGCATGGAACCACTTTTTAAGCCTAACACCGTCACGAGGACGGTGCACCCCGTCCCCAAGAGCAACGACCAACTGTCTCCTGGAGCCAGTATGGAAGAGGTAGTGGGTAATAGAAAGGTAGGCACCTTGTCAACATTCACATCAAGCGCATCCACACCGGGGAGCTCAAACAACATCTACTTCTGAAATGCAAGATTACTCATCACGCAGGCAAACGTACCACATACGCCGCCTTATTGGCCTGGATTAGTAAATTGAATGGGAACATACTCATGGTGCTTCTATTCCGCATACAATAGTGCCTTCTAGTGTACCGGAAAACACATTCTTGCAGTATTTTGCAACATTAGCTTTTCCTGTTGTTTTAACCGTCAAAACGTCCACTTGTCTTACTGACGGCATTTCCGTTGACACAAATGGTTTTGGTGAGTACCTTGTTGCACCGCTTCACGCTCTGATTAATTCGCTTCATATTTTTGTAGCTTGCACAATATACATTGGGTTCAGTCGTCTCTAACTTCTAGACTGTCCATCATTTGACACGGCTCTTACGTGTCATTGCTTACTGAGTAGTATCTTAGGCGACACCCGACAAACAGCACAATTCATCCTCTCCACCAGTTTAGCTGCATTGCGCCGTTGAGACTTAGGATTCTGAATGATTGTGGCATGCACATTTGACCCATTTGTATATTTTACAATAGTTGCGCCAACATCGGAATCCTATAGGGATCATTGGCTACGCGTTACTCAACAGTTAATGGGACAGCACCACATGGGATTGCTAACCTTTTTACACTTTTCCCAAAAAGAGACTCTACACTGACCGCTTTCTGTGTCCGACTTATGTCTGTGGTGCAGAACAGTAAAACAATGCAAAAGTAATGCACTCAGATGCTATCCCATTAAAGTTGAGTGAACGGTAGTGGTCGGGATTCGGCATGTGCAAAGGAATAGTTCCCTATCGAATTGGGCAGTTTCACTAAGCATGGCTCAGACCGTAGTTGCGTAGGAGTCATGATCAAGTTTTAGACAACGATAAACGATCATCTTCCAATTTCAGCAAACCGCACGCGCAATGGTCAGCCATGTAGGTAACTTGGGAGAACCGCTACATTTTCTAGCGTACCCTCCTAACCTAGCTTATTCCCACGGAACAATGTCACTCTTTGCCAAGCCATTCTTTATTTTGGTCAGCCTCCACCCCCCACCAATAGGACCTCCAAGTACGACCATACAGCACTAAGTAATGACCCATTGGCTCTAGCAAATCCTTCTCTGGACTCAGTGCAACTTAACACAAAACAGAGCCCAGTTGTTCCATTGTGGCACACCACACACGTCCATGATGGCAGAGGGTGTGATATAACTGAATCTCTCCATCCTATCACATTATTTTCTCTTAAATCCGTCCTTATAAATATCCGCTCCCAATTACCTAAACCGGATTTCTTTACCAACTTTAGGTTCCTTAAAATCCCTCACATTGTTTGTATCACTGATATAATGTGCTCTTAGCTTAAGGTGACTTACAGTTGAATGTAATGGCTTAGCACTTGTTTCGGGAGCATCGTCTGCGCTAGAATGGAGCTGCCAACCTCACAGGTCATGGCATAACAGCGATCTTAGCTGACTAGTTAGCCCTCAAGGACTTGGCAGACATCTTATGGTTTATAATTCCGTCTTATGATATTCTACTGTGCCATACTTATAGACATCCTGATGACAACGTCCAAGAATCTGAACAGCAAATTTCTACCACAAATGCTGCATCCAGCACTCTACACAAGTAAAAATTTGTGTGTGGAAATTTTAATCTGCCAGGTATAAACTGGCTGTTGCATATGTCTACAATAACTGGAAGAATTGCGGAAATAATCCGATGTGTCTGCATCAAGTATTGAACTCAACATGTTAGGCAGCCTACCAGGTTAGATAACATCTTACGTTTGATTTTCGGTAGCAACGAGACTGGACCTTATCGTGGTTCGACGATTTGCGTGCCTCTTTGACCGATTGAGCTATAGTAGGTGGTGCTCCGGGCTCCTTGCGAGCTACTCCTACCAGGTTGGTCAATGGTTAAAGGTCAGATAAACTCAGTCTCCTGGCCCTCCTGGTTGGGTTTCAAATGAGATGGCGTCCATTTCTGTAAAACTAATTAATTGCAACCTCCCCATTCTTTTGTGGACAAGCTTCAGAGACAAAGGCTTCGGATGCAGACTCTAATCGTCCTCTTGTCTAGGTCTGGGCTCCTTGGTAGTATCTCAGCCCCGCCACCCCCAAACAACTATGACAAATTCCCCAAACTCTAGCCACATCCTGCATTGGTCGCCGCGTAAATTACCAAGGACCGCCTTGTCTGCTGCATACAGCAAGGTGGACAAGCAAAAACAAGATTTTGTTGGCTCGTCCCTTCTTCTTTTTCCACCCGTTCCTTGCTCTCATTCCGACCACGTTACTAACCTTCCTTCTATAATTCCCTAGTTAACTGACAACAGCTTGGGTTCCGGTGAAAAGCCGTTTGTGTGAAGACCCTTCGAGGACAACAACTAAAGTTGCTTCATGAGGTAGTACAAAAGGCTGCTGGTTTGTGATGCCCGTTTATGCTCCCACTGACTGCAGTTATGATGCTGCCGAGAACAAATTCTATCACAAAGTAAACGCTTCACCAGGTAGTGCTACTAGTTCCGATGTCATGATACTTGCAGGGATAGGAACACACAAGTAGGGCGTATAAGCTCTTTTGAAGCTCAACTAGGCTGTAATTATGGGCTCAACTCCGAAAGGACTGATAACGGTGAGCGTCTGTTGCAACTGTGTGCGGAACACCATCTGTTTCTTAGTAGCACCGTTTTAGACACAGTGGGCTCCGAAGTGCCACTTGGCTTCCTTCCGTAGCTGGCCAGAGATGGACCAAAGTAGATCATGTTGCCATGAGTTACAGATTTGCGTGCTTCCATCCTAGATCGCCGCTCTTTCTGGAATACCTGCGTCCACTCAGACCATGCTTTGGTACGCTGTCGTTTCTCCATGAAATTTACCGTGAGGCGCACCATGCGTCTTCCCCGATCGGCAACAGAGAAATTGTCTCAGCCCTTGGTCAAGTGAGGCTATCAAAACGCGATGAGTACCGAACTTACTCTGTATTGTCCTGATGACACTGAACTTCCACAGAATAGGATCTCGGCCGCCATGCACGAAGCAGGAACATGTGCTTGTGGTAATATTAATCGTAACCGTACCAGGCTCTGGATATCCGAGAGGTCGATGAACCCGTTGGAATCCAGAAGAAAACTTTCAGCTGGCTCTTAGCACTACGTGACCAGACGGACTATTTGGTGCGGACTAAAGTGGAGTCTGGGTGCTGACAAGAAAGCCTGGTGGACCAGTCGTGTTCAAGAAATGAAGGAGGCAGGAGAACTAGGCAATTATCGCAAGCACTTCCAGCTGATCCGCACCACGGCTCCCAGGAAACCAGGCGTCAGTGAGACAGAGACACAGCGCGGGTGAACTGATACAGAATAAGGAGCTTTGTATTGCTCGCTGGGAGGAACAATTTCGATATCAGTTCACTTGTCCACCTGCTTCCGGATCTTTTCCTATCCAGGTGATGCAAGACGAGCCATAGTGGGTTAGTTAGAAGCTCCATCGGAGGCTGATGTCCGTAACGTGATTACAGTCCGCAACCGTTATCGTGCTGCTGGCCCGGATTCCCATCCACCTGCACTATGTAAGAAACTAGGTGAGGTCATCTATAGAGTGCAATTACCTTCCTATTCGAACATATCTGGAAAGAAGAGAATGTCCCGGCTAACTGAACTAAATCCATTATAGTGGCAATATACAAGAGGGGCGATTGCTTTGCAAACCACAAGCGTATGACCTTAATGCCAGTTGTAACGAAGTTATTGATCTGTATTCTCGTTCGCCACCTCACCGTGGAACGGCACTCTTGAATTAAGGAAGAGCAGGCAGGTTTCCGCCGAGGACGTGGATTTATTGACCATATATTCACTCTGCGGCAGGTGCTAGAGCAGCAAAACTCATACCGCAATCCAGCAATAGCTGTGTTCCTCGATTACAATAGTACCTTCGATTCAGTCGATCGATCGATTATGTTCGAAATACTTGCGCGGAAATGTGTTCCCACCA